AAGGTGAGAGAGTCCCTTTTTTGCGACTCTGGTTTCACGTTTTTTTTTCTACAAAATCCACATATCTCCAGACACTGGGGGGGGACGTTCAAGCACAGTCAACAGCAAGATGTAGGTGCAAACCAGCGACCATGAATATCAGGGGAGCACACTGAGAATAGGAAGACCGCCAAACTCTCAGAGGGTATGATGCTGGGGAATAAACTGAGAACAGCCTGTACTAGGCTGTAGTCTAAAAGAACTTATAAACGCACTCAAGTATGGGGCGGCTCACAAAGGGCGAAAGGCGTAAAGAATTTTTTCAGTCGAGACGTAGCAGGATACAGTAGTGTTATCTTTTCGTTGGCTGAGCGCGTAGCGAATGAAACGAAAAATGTATTTTTTGCTAGCATTTTCACCATAGTTACGGCACCAGGGTTGCGTCAGCTGGTTTTTTTGTCAGTGTTCTCAAACTTTTCTCTTCATCGTGGTCTTTCTCTTTTCGTTGTAGTTTGCATTTTTGTTCGTCCGTGGAAGAGCTTGACGAGAAGTCGAAACTCGCCGGTAGGCATGGGCGGGTCATGCTAGTTATTTGCTGCGATAATGCTAAAGGCAATGCTCATAATATGAGGATATAATGCCACTTATTATGCTCACACTTCCCTATAATGCCAGTTTGAAAGTTGGAAAAGTCGATTTAAGAAGGCCGTCTTGGATCAAGGCCAAAGCGTAGAAGAAAAATACTTAAAGGGGAATTTAATGCAAAAATCAACATTTCACCAGTTGTAGTCTTCGGGATGCTGAGTCGAATGGTCTTGGTCCAAGAAAGCTGAGACGCTCCTTTCCTACTTGAATCCCAATCGAACTCGCGCACTTCCACCGAAACTGGGTGACTGCGCCGTACGAGATGGGGATTTGTATGCAAAATGTCACTAAAAGCGCCATTTCGTTCTTATAAAAGCACGGATGACCGCGATTGGCCCATATGTTGTAGTCTATTGGACGCTGATTCGACTGGTTTCGGTCCGAAAAGGCTGCGATGCAGCGTTCGCCCCTAATTCCCAATCGAACATGGTTGAACAAGCGGTCACGTGCTCCTGGGTGCCAAAATCAAATGGTCACCACGCCAGCAGGCGACAACATTCACACCAAGGTTCAACTCGAGTGACAGGACTGCACCCAAAAAAGGTCAAAACAGGCTGTAAGTTGTACAGAAAAAAGCGGACCCGGTCCGCCTCACCTGGAGCTGTGGGTACGGCCCCAAAGCGTATCCGTGCAGGCAACGTCGAGGAGCAAGGACCTGCTCCGGATCCCTTCATGGTGGATTCCCCGGAGCTTGCGGGCTCCCCGCCAGCTTGGTTCGCGCAGGCCCTCGGACAGCTGTCTTTCTCAGTGCCTTTGACATCCCCTCCGATCACATCGTCGTTGGCTCCCCCCATGTCCCCCGAATCGCCGTCTTCGCCGTCCAACTGACCGTTGAAACTGCAACACCCACAGGACAAGATCCAGGAGTTGAGGATATTGTCTGAAACGGGTCCCGCCCCAAACTCCAGCAAACAAAACCCTCGCTCGTACTCGTAGCAAAAAAATGCTGCGAACAACAGTTTGAACTAAAAATCGAACTGTTCGCAACCAAGGACAGCGCCAAGCCCCAGGTCGGTGCAAGACACCAGGAAGGCGCTATGTCATCTATCGACCATTGCGCGACCCTGATATACACATGAAACAGACTTCTGAGAATTGCGGAGGAAAAGTATGGGATATCGTGTAGATGATTGGATGCTGGTGATGACACACGCAAAAAAGGCAGGACGAAGAACCATGCCATCTCCAGCAAAAGCAGTGACCACTGCAGTGCCTACATTGTACAGTAGCCTACCGCCGCAGCTGTCACTGTGCATTCAGCCGTCGCCAGCCGCGAGATCTCGAGGCCAGCGGACGGATCGTGGCGTGCCGCCAGTGATTATCCAGATATGTTGCTTTTATTGTATGGCAAACTGTGAGCTGGCGGCATAACTGTGTTTTGAAATGAGTGTGCTCCGCATAGTGTGTTGCCGGACAAGTCCTGTTGTATCTGTCTTACTGAACGCATTGTGCGTTATGCTATGTTGGAACGGTCTTGCCTGACGAGTGCATCGTGCACTGAGTGTCGGCGATGATTCCTGGTGTAACTGACAAGCACAATAGGCATTGTGCGCTGTGCTGTAAAGCTGTGTTTCTGGATGAGTAAACTTCTCATACAGTTTGTTGGTGGACAAGTCCTGTTGTATCTGTCTTACTGGATGAACGCATTTTGCGTTGTGCTATGCCAGAACTGTCTGACTTGAGGAGTGCATTGCGTGCTGAGTGTCAGCGTTGATTCCTCCCTTCCTTTTCTTCTTTTAATGCTATTTTCCGTGGTTGGATTCACCCTTCCTTTCTTGTGTTGGCTATGTATTATTATGTGCCATGAAGTGGAGACGATAAAATAAATAAATAAATTGTGGCCAGCAGTTTGTGGCCGGCTGTCTTTGATGGTACGGTACGGTACGGGACAGATACGGGATAATGCCAGACGAAGGTCCGTCCGCCACAAACAAACAAAAACACACCAAGCTGTGTGGACCCTGGCTAGCGCCAGACGTTACTGAAGTAACGTCTTCTGCATAGCTACGGGAATAAATCAATCTGTAGCGGCATTGCACTGGGTGCATTGTAAGGCGGATTGCCAGAAACCGACACAACATAACGTGGTCAGACAATTGCTCACTGCTGCAAGACGTCTTTGTGCCTGACCAATCAGTCGCCGCTCACCCTTGAGGTCGGTGGTGTTCAACAAGGTCGTCGCCACACTGGCTACCCCTACCGCCCCGTTGCAGGACGGGCAAACAGCAGCGTTGTTTGTCCCCGACTTTACTGCTCTGCTTCGCTGGGACGATCTGCAACGCCTCACGCCTCAGGATGTCTCCATTTGCGGCACGCATATGTCCCTCCGCCTGCGACAACTCAAGAATGACCAGTTGCGCCAGGACGATGTGGTCATGGTGAGCCAGCTGGAGCAGCAGGGTACTACACTATGCCCTGTGTCGGTCATAGAGGGTTTCTTGGAGAGAGCACGGCATGTATCCGCTCAACCTCTGTTTGGCAAGGTCTCCGCAGCAACCCACCAGTCATGTCCGCGGGGAAAGATGACATACGCCCGGGCGCGCAAATTGATTCACATGGCTCTCGCCCGCGTAAGTGAAGACCCCGCAGGGTAGGGCACGCACAGTCTCCGCTCGGGGGGAGGGGGGCGGGAGCAACGGCAGCGTCCAATGCTGGCGTGCCAGAGCGCCTTCTTCAGCGGCAGGGGGGTTGGGGGTTGGAAGTCATCCATATGTACATGTACATGTATGTGGAGGATTCCCTCAAGGTCATGCTGTCGGTGTCTCGCGCTATACTGCACCAGTGACTATCGGGTCGGCTATCCTTTCCGTCGTGAATGAACAAAGACCACACTTCTATTGTGATCTGTATCTTGCTGTTGTGTGTGGGTGTGTCTGCGGTGTGCGCAGAGGCCAGCTAGCTGGCAAAAAGTGTTATTTTTCGTTGGCTGAGCGTAGCGAATGAAACGAAAAATGTATTTTTTGCCAGCACTTTCACCATAGTTACAGCACCAGGATTGCGTCAGCTGGATTTTTGTCATAGTTCTCAAACATTTCTCTTCATCGTGGTCTTTTTCGTTTCGTGTAGTTTACCACCCGCCCTCCCCTTTATTCTCACTTCTGGATAGGTCCTGCAGGCTACGTTTTTCATCTATCTGATGGGGATATTCTAACCGGTGTTTCCTCAGGGATGTGCCTCCGCCGGGGTCCTGGTTTTTTTTCCGCCAGCTTCGGGCTGGTTAATTATCCGGCGGCTCCATTCACCTCAGTGGTTCACTTTTTGCATCATGTTGGTCTGGTACCTACGTGCAACGTTACATGTATATGTGTGTGAGGTGGCATGCCCTTCTTCTTGCTCATGTATACACTACGCTAAGTGCTCTTCCATCTTCCACCGTGAGTGAGCAAAGACCACACTACATGTACTAGTACAGTCCGTATCGCCTATAAGGTTGGCGGCTATAGTAATATACCGGATATAGTGATCAATTTCTCAAATTCATTTTCATTTGCCATAACTAAGTATACACAGTTATCGCGTATAGTAATAATCGTCTATAGTAATATATCGCCTATAGTGATCAAATTCATATTTCAAAAGACGTTTATTACACTATCTTTGCATCAGTTATAGTGATTGATGTAAAATCAAGCGATGTCAGAGTAGAACATGGTGTTCCTTGTTCGTGAAGAACTTGTCCAGTGAGTGTGGTTTGGTGAGTTTTGCTTGTACAAGTTGCCAAAATACGCCTCCATCATGAGGAAATCCTGATTTTGTGTGTCATGAGCTACAGCCAGCTACATGTACATGACATTGTACATGTACATGTATGTAGTGCGTACATGTATGTGCACGGCGCGCTGAGTCGTTTGACACCCCACTCGCATACATTGCATGCAGTATCGGTCATAGTGATATATCGCTTATACTGATAAAATGCTCAAAATCAAACACCAACGCTATAGGCGATACTGACTGTACTACTGTGATCTGTATTTTTCTGTTGTGTGTGGGTTATGTCTGCGGTGTACGCAGAGGCCAGCTAGCTGGTAAAAATTACTGGTGCTGTATAGCAGGTACATGTACATGTATCTGCCAGTACGCGTCAAAAAGATATGACTTGAAAATTCAAAAAACAAAAAGAGAATACTGTAAATAATAGCTATGAAAAGTATGAATGCCGCTGACATCACCACGCAACTTGACAATTTGTTCAAGGTTTGGTTTTGTGTGTTTCCAAAATCGATTTTCACGCTCCGATCATCAGTGGAAATACGGAACTAAAGAAATCGTTGTATATGCGCCTCGTTAGAATAATGGCTTTTACAGTACTACGCAACATAACGAGCAACTCTGGTTAGCGATCATTGCCAGACCCCCGTATGATTTGTTTTTCACTCACAAAGCAACTGTTCAGTACATGGGGTAGTGGTCTACCAGAGCAATCACACTCACCACCGTAGTGGTTTTCCAGAAATGAGTAGAAGCAAAAAACACACTCCCAGCCACATAATAGATAAAACGCCGAAAAAATCTAAATCCATCAAAGAACCGCCAGCAAGCGTGAGAAAAGGCCGCAAAATCAAGTGAAACAGCATGGCCAGTGGTGAGCATGGGTGACTGGGCAGCAGGGGAGCGCCTGAAAACAATGACTCCCTACATTCCTAGCCGCGACCCCTCATCCGTGCTAGAGGAGAAACACGCCTTTCGGCCAAAAAACCTTTCTATTTCATTAATTCCTGCCCCGCTGCCAGTCGGACCCAAGAATAGAGACAGCAAGAAATTGTATGTAATAACCGGTGTATGGCATCATCATAAGCCACACACGTTGGCATAGAATGTCAAGAAGAACAGCGGAAGACCCACATAAACACCAGAGAGGGTGGGCGGGCAACTTCAACTACCACGAGGAAAAACAAAGACGGGAAAAGTCTGAAGAAAAAATTGACTGTCACTACCAGGACTCGAACCAGGGACCCTCGCTTGTAGCTAGCGATGCTCTAACCACTGAGCTATGGTGTAGTCGTCATCCCAGCAGAGACTGTCCAACATTCTCTTCAGACTTTGTAGCCCACACTTCCTGTGAATCCACACAGGCGGGTCCATATTATTATTATTATTTTAGCAACATACACCAGGGATCAATGGTATTAAGGACTACACACAGGAGAGAGAAAGGGGAAGTTGGGTTCAATGGCATTCCGAGTTTCACATAGTCATGACCATCAGGCAACGGATGGTTCCAAAACTCCAAAACGGGCAGCCTGAACATAAGAGGATAAAGATGGGGAACCATAGCGTACGAGTTAGGCGCAGGCGGGATGTTGCCAAGTCTTTAGTCTCGGGGATATGCAACAGCAGCAGTTCTGGCACTCTGGTGGTTTGAATACATGGTATGTACTAAGAACTAGATTATAATTTTAACAGTCAATCACCTCAGCATACGTTGTAAAATGTTCCAACAGATCCTTTTGGTTGTCACAGTTGTCGCTGTGGTTGAGACTCAACACGTTTCTGAGATGCTTGCCCAAACCTGAGTAGAATTGTGTCAATCCGAGTTCGGTTGTGATCCCCTGCATATCTCTGAGCTTGCGGTACCTCAGGCAAACCATGAAGTAGTCCTCCAAAGATAACTCTAGCTGATTCATGACGTACAGCTGCAATGTGGAATGCCGCGTACAGGCGCTCAATGACGATGTCAAAAAGAAATCAGGACTCTGGGCATCTGCTCCTGTACACAACAAACCCAGGTATTGCAGTAGTGAAGGGAAATGCTCATTTATCTTTGACAATGCCCGAACTACTTCAAGAAGTCTCTGAGCGCGATAGTGATACTGAAGGAGGGGAATCACTTTCGAAGTGGCATTTGCAATTCTTTTGATAAGAAGTGTCTGATAGACTTCCGGAGAACCACATCGTTTTAACGACAGGTCTCTCAGTCTGTCGAGATGATCATTGCCGCTGTACCCTGAGTCTGATTCATGAGAAATCTGCTGGGGATGTGTTCGCGAAATATCTTCTATCTGCAGCTTGGGTAAGTGTTCAGTTGCGGCTGCTACAACTAACAAACCTTCTAAGTAGGGAGTAAGATGCATTGACATAGGGAAGCAACTCTCCACTTTGAACGTTCCCATTTTGGAAGACAAAAAAGGCAGAAACGGGATCGGGGAAGAAGTTCCATACTGCATAGTATCCAATTTGATAGAAGAAAGACAATGCTTGTTGATTTGTTCACACATAATCGGATCTAGTCTTAGAACTGCGGTGGCCACATACAAAGTTTTGCTGGTGTCAATGTATGACGAATCCAACAATGGGCTGATTCCGTAGCGACGCTGTGCATGTAACACCAAATAGAGAATGAAGCATCACAGCAATCATACTTCAAAGGACACTGTATAACATTGATTTATTTTCATAAAAATCTTAAAACACTGCGGATCAAGTGAATGTTCTGGTTTCTGGACGGTTCATCGAATACGCCTTCGCAGAACGACCATTCATAGTATGTTTCACGGAAAGACATTTCACAAAGTGTCAGATATAGGGTTATGCGACAGTTCACAAAATCCATTTTCGCCGTGTGACGTTTCACAGATTCCCAACTCACAGAATGACACTTCACAGAGTGCCAGTCTCACAGAATGCACTATTCACCGACACCCAATTCAACGAAAACCCAGTTCACAGACGGTGTCCCGACATATCACTGAACGACAATTCACCAAGCGACAGTTCACCGACTGACAGCTCACCGAACGACAGCTCACCGAATACCCAGTTCACAGAATGCCCATTTCACCGAATGCACAACTCACAGAAGGACAGTTCACCGAGCGGCCAATTCGCCGAACAGACATTTCACCGAAAGAAAGAAAAAATAAAGAAGGACGGAGAGAATTTTGAATTTTTAAATATATTTCAAGGAATACCTAGAGGCCATTAAGCCTATCGAGGCGGTCTCCATTTGTGTACAGAGGTGAGCAGATCAATGAAGAACAATAGACAAGCAGCGAACATGTTGCAATTACTCCACAACCAACGTTTAAGAATTTTGAATTTTCAAATGTACTGATATTTTACACCCAAAACGTACTAAATTGAACCCAATACTGTTGATGTTTCAACCAGCTAACACAGTGTTTTACTCTTACCAGTGGTGATGATTGGAATAAGGGATTAATTCAGTAAAAACTCGCTGCTTTTCAGAGCTATTCTTCCATCTTTGCAATTTTTGTGCTTACCATTTTGGTCATTTTGGTCACAACTTAACCGTGGAAATGTAGTAACTTTTGCACGCAAACCTGACACATGCACTGGTTATGCGACGTCTGACTGTACATGTACTGCATTTGCCACATAACGTGCAACCAGCGCCAGTACGTCAGTGCCAGCATTTCAGCCCTGCAAAACTGAGCGCCAGTGAAGTTAGTTAGCCTGACTACAAACCAGTCATTACAATTATTTTAAAGTAGAATTTCGGTGAGCTGTCTTGTCGGTGATATAGCCATTCGGTGAAATATCTTTCTGTGAAGTGTCTTTCGATGAATTGTCCAGTCGGTGGATTGTCCATTCGATGATTTGTCTTTCGGTGAAGTGTCTTTCGGTGAAGTGTCGTTCGGTGAATGGTCGGTAAACCGTCAAAAAGGTAGTCTGTGAAATGTCATTCAGTGAACTGTCGTTCGGTGAACTGTCATTCTGTGAATTGGGTTTTTGTGAACTGTCGGGACACCCAGCTTCAGTGACTGGTCATTTCGTCGAAAATCTGGTTCACAGAAAACAGGCCCTTCCTCTACAGCATGTTGACGGAAATTCGGTCCACAGAATTGCAGTTCCGCCGAATAGCAGTTTCACCGAAAACCTGTCGCCGATGACATCGCTATAGTTACATGTAATTATATCGCATTCGAATCATTTATGGAATAATAAGTTCACCGCATAATCGTTTCACCGAAACCATGCCGCTAATGCTATCGATATACATCATGATTATTTGAATCTTTGCGTTTGTGTGAACCCGTCGAATTTTGGGTTTTTTTTGTTTGTTTTTTGCGTTCATTCGGCTGGGAGACGTTGCCGAGTGTTTCGAGTCACTGGAAGTTGACTTTCCTCCTGAGGCGGAGGAAGTATTGACATACTTTGAAACTTACTACATCGGCGGCCTAAGAGCTAATGAGACCAGTACAAGAGTGGCGAGCAAACATGCCAGCAGGGGTTGCGGTTATGAATTTTTTTAATTGTTTTGATGTTGTCATTGTTGTCCCCCTGCTTACTGTTGCTGTTATGGTTTCACGCGCTTCTGCGTCTTTCTACTGAAATGTACGTGTGGAAATATTGCCTGTGTCGGTGACGGAATCGTTGGGCGTGGCGTACAGTCTGTGAATTGACTTTTAGATTTGACGCTGCACTGTGTAACTGGTTTCGGTGAGACAGGTCTTCTGTGCATCGGTCTGTCGGTGTGGAATGCATGCTGTGAAACGTCTTTCGAAGACACGTCATTCTTCGAACTGTCCTTCTGTGAACTTGTTTTTGGTGAACAGGCGATATCCCATGAGTACAATAATTTATGACAGATTCAGATCGTCCATTTCTATGTGCCGAAAGCCTTGTCTCTCCCTTCATCTTGAAATTCTTAGGTTACTATGGAAACTGCATGACCCAGTTGCTGTATATATAATACAGCTTTGATGGGGGTGAAGTAATGATTTTAAAAACGTACACTACGTAAACGAAATGATATAGCAATTTGCGCCAACCACGAGAGGAATGAAACCAATGACATCATTTCTTGCAAGTGTACATTTCACCATTCTTCAAGTTCTCACCTCCCCCCCCCCCCCCTCTCCCCATTACTTACCACACAGATAGCCTTGAATGTCTGCTCCGTCAGCAACAGTTTTCGTAGCTTCCGGGAAACTCCGCAAAGGCGGAAAATTGACCTGACATCAAGGCAAGGTAGAACTGACTCGAACCACACATCATAGGCGAGATGGTCAAGGTTGTTAGAGCTTTCACTCAATAACTCGTGATATTCACCAAGTGCATTCTTTTCCTGAATGCGAAATCCGTCTCCTGACTGTAGATAGCCAGTTTCATCATCACTTTCTGACTGCTGAGGTTGTCGGACAGAAGGTGCCTGAGAACAGTAGCGTTGAGCATTGGCTTCTTCCAACACCGCCTTCGTCCAGCCCTGACTGGTTCTGTACATGCAACAATACAAAATCAAAACGCTGAACGTTGACAGTTGGGCATTGAGGTTTTACACCACAATGTACCTGATATGGTCAGTAATAGAAAAGTGAGGAATGACCATGAACATCAGAAAACGTGTTTGAATGTCAGAGCTAAAATATTCCTCCTAGTTGTACATCCTTTTTGTCGACCTCAGAAAGGTGTACGACTCAATTCCCCATCATGCGTAGTGGCTGGTTTTGGAGAGAGTTGGTGTGCCGCAGCATATGCCCGGCTTATTCCGGAGTCTCCACGACGGCATGGAGGCCGGGGTGCGGTTGTGTTCGGTTGTCGCCTCGTGGCATTCCCGATCGACTGCGCCTGTTGTAACTCTGCGCTACCGCAACGGACAGAAAGTTGTTGGAGATCGGTGGGACAAATCGAAACTGCTGGAGACCGAGATAACGGAGTCGCAATTTGCAGACGATGCAGCGCTTTGCGCACTGTCTCCGAGTCAGTGATATTCCTTTGACATGTTTCAGATTTTGCTTTAAAAACTTCACCTAGCCAGACAAAAAATGGTTGTACTGTGCGAGGCTTCTTCTATTTATAGCTTTGAAGAAGTGGTTCGCGAATTACCTGACAGATCGCAGGCAGCAAGTTACAGTCGCTTCGGCCACAAGTGGTGCTCTTGACTGCATCTGTGGTATGCCCCAAGGCTCCGTCTTGGGGTCTGTTCTCTTTAACGTCTACACCCGTGATGTGAAATCGGTCTCATCGCCAATACCCAGCGTGCAATTCGCAGACGACATTGCTCTGTAGGATTCAAAAGCTTCCGTTGGGGAAGTCTCCAAATCCGTCTCTTCAGCTGTCACTGATCTCGCCATACGGCTTAAGGTGGCAGACTACCCAAAAATTCGCTGAAAAATCGAATTTGTAAATTCATATTGAGTGCTACGTCAGTTGAAAGACCATGAATAGCTGCAAATTCTCTGAAAATTGTGTCCCGATCTGGCCGGCCGTTCAAGAGTTATGGCCGAAAATGTGCCCTTGCAAGGAAAGATTTTTTTGTTGCACGCTGTCATTTGTTGGCAGCACTGTATTTGAATGTGAGCAGACCGTGCGCAACTTGTCGTATCATGGAAACACGTGAAAGTGTGCAGAATTTTGCTCCAAGTCCAAAAAATCAGGTTTTTGAGCCACGTATTGCGCTGCACGGCGGGGGGCGAAGCCCGCCGCCGTGCAGCAGGACTTTTGCCAGCACCCTCATGACGTTGCAGATATGAGGCTTGATTATTGTAGTTGACGTTGATTTAGTGACTTTGGCAAGTTTGAGTCGTGTCAAGAAGTCAGGTAGGATTCAGTACTAGGCAGTAGTGAAACGTGAGTGGTAGTCTTTGCCGGTTTCTGAGGGTATCCTGGATTTCGTGTCCAGCGCTGTGGAAATGGCTTGCTGTGGACGTCCCAGCACTGGATGTTGTATCAAACATACGACCTCGTAGCACGTGCTAAACCTAAAAAAATTCAAAAATTTACTTGGGTCTGTGGGAGTGTGTGAGAGAACGCCCACTCGTTCCGTTGTGACAGATTCCAGGGCCTCGTTGAGGGGCCCTACCCCATCACCCATGGCTGCTTCTGGTCTTGTTCTAGGTTTGAGTCCCGCGCACGAACAGAATGAGCACGAAAATGTGAAAAAATTGTAAATGCATTTGTTTGGCTCCTGGGTGGCTCGCACACCGTGGCACTATGCCGGAAATTTGAGTTTTTCCGGCCTGGAAAGCCTGTCAGTGAGGCGCAAGAACTTGTGAATCATGTCCTGAGGGCCAGCATAGTGGCAGGAGTGTGTGGTCAAAATTTCACTCAAATCCATTGAGAAACACCAAAGTTACGGTCAATTGAATGCCATATGAAATTTATGGGTAGGCTGCCCCCTTAAGTCACGCGGCCTTATTTTAAATGCCTCCAAAAGCCAGGTAATGACTATCTCACCACAACATGCCGGGCCTGAGGTCTCTATCGTGTGCTGCGATACCTCTCTACCGATAGTGAATTAAGTCAAGCGGCCTAATTTTAAATGCCTCCAAAAGCCAGGTAATGACTATCTCACCACAACATGCCGGGCCTGAGGTCTCTATCGTGTGCTGCGATACCTCTCTACCGATAGTGAAGTCTGCGCGGTATCTTGGTGTCTTTCTTGAAAACCGCCTGAGTTGGGATCTACACGTCAGCGCCATAGTGACCAAAGTTGCAAGGAAGATAGGCGCCTTTTGGCGAGCCCGTCGATGCCTCTCCCGCAGCTCGCGCAAGATATATGTAAAGGCTATTGTCATGCCGGATATGATATATGGTGCCTGCAGCTTCTCTGCAGCCCTCCGCGTGACTCAACTTCAGCGTCTGCAAGCCATGCAAAACCGGGCGATCCGATGCATTGATGGCAGCCCGCCATGTTCCGCGATGCAGCCCCTCCTGGCTGCCAACTCGATTTGCCGCGTCACTGAACTTTTTTAACAAAAGCTCCTGATCTTCATCTGGCGTTGTCTAAATGACTCCACTAGCCTTGCTCTAGCCCAGCTTCTCAAACCAGCAGCATGCAGCGGCAGAAGTACGCGCCATCAGCATGCCAATGGTCTGCTCAGCCAGCCAGCTCGCAGTCGGTGTGGCCAAACGAGATTCGCCACCGCAGGAGCATTGCTGTGGAACAGTTTGCCTAGAGAGGTGCTCACCGTATCCAGATTGCAAGATTTTTAAGCTAGCCTGCCTTCCTTATGTATGCCTGAAATAGGTTGTGTTTCGTCAGGCTTTGACATGTTCCTTTCTTCTCAGTATTCTCGCTCGCATAGTACTCCACTTCTATGATAATATTGCTGTTGCTCATTAGGATTTTGGCAAATTCTACCCTTCGCTTTCATATAACTGGGCCAGGAACCCATTTGAACTTGCGAAGTAAAATAAAATCAATCAATCAATCAAGTCCTTCTTGGGACAGAAGCCAGCATCGATCACTAAGTATGACACAAAGTCGACTTCTTCCAGCAGAGGGGCAACCGCCTTGCATCCACGCAGTGCGCCAAGCATGCTGTTGTAATCTTGTCCAGATAACTTTGTTTCGCAACCTTGTTCTTTAAATTTCGGCCAGCCGGCTACAGGTCGTCCCTCGTTAATACATAATCTCTGGGATTTGACAAATGTTATGTATTAACGGGGTTTATGTACTAAACGAAAGTGTACATAACTTGCTTGTATAGCAGAATTTTTCACTTTTTTCAACTTTTCTGAGTGTTTCTTGCTTCCATGACTAGGCAGCGAGATATTCTTGATTCCCTCGATATAACATAACAATTATGTTATAATGGTCACATTTAGCGAAGATTCTACAGTTGACATTGTACATGCCCCGCCGCGCGCACCTGTACAGTCACTCGAAAAAAAAACAGAGCTTTGTCGGTTTGTGATGTGCGCTCTGATTTCTATGCTAATTGCGTCCACAAGTAGAAACTAGAACATGATGTGCCTCCACTGGAAGGCCAAAAGACCAGTAAATTATGTACTATTGAGGTAGGTGACATGCGGGTACGGAGAAATGTTATGTACTAACGGATTATGTACTAACCGACAAAATTTGTATGGAAGTGACCACGTTTCGTCCGGGACTTGAGATTTCTTATGTACTAACAGGGTTTATGTACTAACCGGACTCGTATTAACGGGGGACGACCTGTACTATCATTTCATCTTGGGGGTTAGACAAGGGGATGTACAAGTAGCCATGCAGGGGCGTGAGCCCGCCTTTCAGCACCGGGAGTTGCAGCTCGCTCGACTTGACTCTACTGAGTGCAGAGGACCCACACCTTGATCTGGTGAGCTGCGTCGTGTAGATTTTGCACTCAGATGTGCGACTGCAGGGCTGGCACTTGATCCAGCTTCTCAGCGTAGGGTGAGAGTTTGACGACCTGCGATCGCGACTCCACACTTGTACCTCATTAGCCGCACTTGCCGTAACAGCAGAAGCAGTCTTATGTGAACGTTCCATACTGATCATACTCGCAGGATTCAACTACAAACAATCCCCGTCGACTTCTCTGAAACAAGAGCAGGGAATAATGCCAAAAGCCACCCGCTTCACTCTTCTTTGATGTAGCTTTGATGTACTTGCTCTGATGCCTCAGCCTGCCTTTGCACCAAAGTGGCCGCCTACACTGCGATTGCGTCATGCGACTCGGGGTCTGCGACTCTGCGCTTGGTGCGTTGCTTTGGCAATGTGTGCAACCACTCTATACCCACAATAGGGGTGCAAAGCAATGCCAAGACAGCAACTGGCTCATGAAGAGCCACAACTGGCATGTGATGAGTCGCACGTACCACACTCAATCTCTGCTTTTCACAAATTCATTTCAGGAAGGTTGTACAATGCCATGTACATGTTATCTGTTTTGGTACCTGTGGCATATTTAAAGTTATTGCGTGTCGTGCTATTTCCATACCATTGTTTGGGATGTTTTGTGAACTTCGTTTCTCTCTTGCCATTGTACATGCGTGGGTGAGTTATTATCTGCTCGCAGCGTTGCTCATTTTTAAACATATCCTAGCCAGTATGCCCCAGTTCACTCCTGAAGATGGTTATTTTATGACCGACACGTTTAAAAACGTTTCCAGAATTTTTTTGTGAAAAGCAGCCATTGAGTGTGAGCCAGTGTTGCTCACAATCCACACTTTACTTATAAAGCTGCGCGATAGGTCCTACAGTATATTAAAAGAGGATACGTTTTTTTATTTTTTTATTTTTATTGAAAAACCACAAACCTTCAGACATGTGAATGTGCACATGATATACAGTGTACATACGCATGTATCGAGAAGGCAGCACAGAAACGTATACGTGTACGATAAA